AAAAAAAAAAAAAAAAAAAAAAAAAAACCAGCCGGGCATGGTGACCTACGTCTGGAGTTCCAGCTACTCAGAGGCTGAAGCAGAATTGCTCGATCCGGCAGGCAGAGATTGCAGTGAGCCGAGATTGCACCACTGCACTCCAGCCTGGGTGACAGAGTGAAATTCCATCTCAAAAAACAAAAAGATGTCACTATCAATATCAAGTGGATGTGTGTGGAAGTGTAGCCTTTACACACGCTGGGGAAACATAAGACAGCATGGCCACTCCAAAAGACTGTTTGGCAGTTTCTTAAAAGGTAAATATAAATTTACTTTATGGAGTTGGATGCAGTGGCTCAGGCCTATAATCCCAGCATTTGGGGAGCACAAGGCAGGTAGATCACCTAAAGTCAGGAGTTTGAAACCAAACGGTCAACATGGTGAAACCCCATCTCTTCTAAAAATACAAAAAAGTAACCCAATGTGGTGTCGGGTGCCTGTAATCCCAGCTACACGGGAGGCTGAGGCAGGAGAATCACTTCAAACTGGAAGGTGGAAGTTGCAGTGAGCAGAGATCACGCCATGGCACTCCAGCCTCAGTGACAGAGCCAGACTCTGTCTCAAAAAAACAACAAAATAAATAGGTGTGGTGGCACATGCCTGTAATCCCAGCTACGCGAGTGGTTGAGGCAGAAGAATCACTTGAACCCGGGAGGTGTAGGTTGCAGTGAGTCAAGATCATCCCACTGCACTCCACCTTGGGCAATTGAGTGAGACTGTCTCCAAAGAAACAAATGAAGTGTCAACATCAGTGGCTCTTTGTATACTCGCAGAATGGTGCATCCATCACCACAATCGATTTTAGAGCATTTTCATTTCCCCAACAACGAACCTGTTATCCTTAGTCATCACCCCTCCCAATTCTTTCTTCCACCCAAAGCACTAGGTAACCAGTAATCTGCTCCCTGTCTCTCTGGATTTTCCCATCTGGGCATTTCATATAAATGGGATGATACAGTATGCGGCCCTTGGTGACTGGCTGCTTGGACTTGGCATACAGTGTCAGGCT